GAGAATTTGGTATTGGATCAACTTATAATCCTCATAAAGATGTTTTTGTTTATTCTCATCACTTGTCTCCTTGATATTACACTGATATTTTAAGGAGAAATTAGTCACTCTTAGAAATTGAAGTGTTAAGACTGTTTCTTCGCCTAGCGACGGAATCGAAGTCGTAGGGGCCCTTCCGACGGAATGAAAATCGAAAATCAAAGTCGTAAGTCGAGCCTTGAGCTCGACAGAATCGGAGTCGGAAAAATTGAAAGGTTACAGATCCTTCCGATTCCGCTTGTGACTTCGATCGATGATTAAAACTTGAAAGCTAGTGAAAGCTAGATTGTTTGAGATGCCAGAAGAAGCGCATGAAACAATCAATCACAATGCCATTTCTCGGGCTCCTGACTTCAACAATCTAGTTTCCACCTAGACGCAGGTGATGGAGTCACAACTGAATGGTTTGGCTGTTACGCGATCGCATCGCCTTTACGATTTCTTTGTGGTAAAATGATTCAGAGGATGACATGTTCGAATCGTAGCCGTTGACTTTGATTTTGGCCCCATTGCATGCTTGTGACAAAAATTAATCGACTATTGAAACTTTACAGTACATCGCTTCACGGGTTTACTTGGGACCAACACAATGACTGGCTCTCAGTTGGCTTGCTAGCTCAGTTGGTAGCATAGAACACTGCATCGGTAACGCAGAGGTTATGGCTTAAATTTCGTACAAGCCTGAATTTTTTTCAGGCCTTATTTTCACTACTGCTTAAGTAGTGTTTTTTATCACAGCACACTTCAATTGAAATACTGTACTTCGATATTTTTTTCTATCGATCACTGAGATAAGCAATGCTTATGATGAATAAATGATAGAAAGTTTATAGAGGCATTCAAAATTCAGCCCTATAGCTAAATTAGTTAAAACTCATTCAAAAGTAAGACAATCTCGAATGTGATCCACGAGAAACAAACAAAAAAAAAATAAAATCAGGTCCATAAAATTGTTGTAAAAAGCCCATCCTTGCGTCTGTTCGTTTTGCAAATAGAAACATGGCTTGTTTTCGACTAATTTCAGATTAAAACCAGTACATTTGTTTAACTCTGGTACAAACCTTTATAATTCATAATTAGGAATATCACTTATGCTACCATAACACATTTTGACCGTTTTAGCTTGTCTCTGATGAAAAGCTGCTCGATTGCCTCGCGATAAGTGACATACGTGAACGGAAAGATTTTCTCAAGCGAATTGATACTCAGAGATGGAGAAAAGCCACACAATTGCTAGTTGAGGCTTTGCCTCGACCAATTAGCGACATGGTCGTTGAAAGTGTAGAACGAGTATTCCGAGATAGTTACAGGCTAAAAATTGGCGCTTAGGCTGATTCTGCTAATTCAGTTTACAGATGGTTAGAAAATTATATACAAAAAAGAGCGGAAATTATATTTAAAAAGACCTCGATAAGAGACTATCCGCTCCACAGAAGACTTGCTTTTATGAGAAAATTTGTTCCTTCTGTAACTTACAGTGAAACATTGAAAAGCATCTGATCTGCATGCAAAGTGAAAAGATGTTTGCTAGTCCTGAAAAAGATAAAATATTATAAAGAGAGGACCATGTCAATAATGAATGTTGTCTGAAGAGTTACCGGTTTGTTTAAAAATTGCTCACGCCTAATTAATCGCCAGCCAAGAAAGCTTAAGGTACTTGTGCATAATACATCCATTTATTTTCAAATGGCGATCACCAAAGATGCACAGACCGCGAGACGCGAAAACAAGAGAAAGTCCATAAAAATAGATATTACTGCTGTGTCATTGGCTGAAGGCGGCTTTGTTGACAAATAGGGGCTCTTTTTCCGTTACTCCTATCAACTGATGCCGTCCTGTTGTCAGCTATTTGCATATTTGTATTATGTTGTTAGTGAAAGCTTTCAAGTAACTTGGAGAACCTGTGCATTGCTTGAAGGCCAAACAAACCTTCCCAAAACCCATTAAGAGATTTCAGCGCCGCGATTGTCTACATCTGCCACCAGATTCTGCTGATTTTACAACACGAAGATCAAATTTCGCCGAAAGAAGAAAAAATCGTTTTTCTTGTAGACCCTAAAGAAGGTAAGCAAAATTCATTTGCTTTACATCAGCCAACGAAAACAAAAATTTATTTGTTCTCTTCTTGAATTCCCAAGTGTACAAAAAACTTCGATATGAAAATAACGTCTGCTGTTTTATGGCAACAACAAATCCAAAATAATTTCCTACAAGGAATAATTTTTTAAGAAAAATGCAGGGGTGAGATAGGGTCGAAACGGGGAAACAATTAAGGTGTTTCTTGAAAGTAACACACGCAGATTCGTCACATAAACACAAACGATTTGAAACATAATTTTTTATTTCTGCAAGTGAAGTCGACGGTTGACTTCATTGTTACTATTTTTCATTCCACTTCTGGCATAAAATGGTCACAGAGTAAATTTGTATGTTTTCGCGTGGACTTCACAGCTCAATCGCTCGTTTGACCGACAAATGACGGCCGTGTTTTCAGTTAAAACTTTACTTCATGCGATTACGTACAACTTGGCTAATATACAGAATAATTCCTTAATTGCTTGGGTATGGAACACCGTGCTAAAACTTAGTCCAGATAATATAAAATATCTCCCGTTAGGAGATTCTAAAATGATGAATTCTCGACTTCTATTGGCGTCCGAAACGAGCGGTTAGTATAACAACAGCGAAAAGTACTGGAGCTCCCTCGGCGGGAAAGAAAATTGAGAAAAATTACAATATTCCTACTAAAACTAATAAACTATTTTGCATTTTAAATCTATGGGCTTTACGAGGTAACAATGATTATTATCATAAAGAAGGTCTTCGATCAAACACAGCTTTGAAATAGTGCTTGTTTTCCAAGCGATAAACACTCTATTTAGCGAGATTTTTCGGCTCAAGTTGATCATCCAATGCACCATGAAACTCAAATTGAATATTCCAATTTTCCTTTCCCTGGTTTGTTGGGCTATTGAGCCGTGTGGGATAATTTCTCGTTGACAGGTGTACATACATTAAAATTACCTTCAAAATAAGACGCTTTTTTCGACTCAAAAAAACTAAAATCCAAGAGGGCGTTTGTCAAATAACCTGCGTGTAAGCAGAGAGAAGCATTCACGACATTTCGAATTACGAGATAAAGTCTGTGCGAGTGTTTTTGCTAGATCCGTCTCACACTCGCAGCGCGATTCCGAAAAAAATATCTCTATATACAGAAACTCTATCAGGCAGGTGATTTATCTGTTCGTATACACACCGACCTCATCGTTAAAAAAACTATTAGATGGAGTTTATCTTCATTTCTAACAAAGGGCTATTTATGACAAAGAAACACCAAACACAAAGGAAAATTGTTGTTTGAAAATTTACTACTTCAGAGGTTATCTATCTTTTTGCAACCTCGGTGTTTATGCAAAAGGAAAAAAATTTACATTTGAAAACTGATGTTCCTTTTGGGTTTTGACATTCTCAATCTTCTGTTTTGAGTTACTGTGTCACAAAGGGCGATGAAGGAAGGTTTGAAAAAGAAGGATTGGGAGATGCGTGGCGTTCCACGGTTTTCTTTTTGTGTCAGTAATCCATGAATCAAAATTGATTTCTGCTGTTCTTATGCAATTATTATAATCTGTAACATTGGAGACGGCTGGGGTAGAGATGAATTTTATTAATGTTTGTTTTTATTTCAGCATATTGTGTTCAGCAGATCATTATTCGAAGTGACTTATTAAGTCCTTGCCGAAATGAAAACAATTTTCTTTAGAATATTTTAGAAGCCTACATCTAACAACAACAAAAACATTTTACTTTCCTCTTTTACTGAATTGAGAAATATTCACGCAAATTTTCTGTTCCAAATAGATCCTGGCACAGGTAATCGTACGTTCCCACTCCCCTCCCCCCCCCTCCCCTCTTTCCTCGAAAAGTTTGACGAACATGTTAGTCAAAGCAGTTCATTGTCTTAGGATATCAGCTGCAACAAATCGCATTATTGCATGCCGATGTTCTCGATTTTATTATGAACCAGTTCGTTTTACATGATTTGATATAAATTTGGGTAAGTGTTCCAAAGTTTTGAGGAAAAATGTTTGAACCACAAACGATTAAGATGACCGAAGCTCTTTACGAAAAAAAACCCCAAGTTTTTCGTCGAATTTTAAGAAAAGTTTCAAAATTTGTTTCTGTTTTGTTCTCTTTTGTTTGGTTTAGATTCTTGATCATTTTAATTCTTTTTTGCCTATTCTTCACTTTGAGTAAAACCAAGAGAATATTGGTATTCTCTTGGTAAAACTGTCTTAAAATATTCTATCACGAAAACCCGAAAAATCGAAAAACCGCAAAAATCGAAAAACCAAAATATGGTTGGGTAGAAAAAAAGTCAAGTCCTGAGAAGCAAAGTTGCTAAAACCTTATTGAGATCTAAGTTTCCAAAGCTTATACGAATTGCCAGAGTGACGCAGGCACTATGACAGATTTTAATTAAAAAGCGTTGAAGTCTCGGTTGCGTGTTTCTTTGGCGCAATTACAGCGGCAGGATTCCTGTTCTCAAAGAAAAAAAGAAAAAAAAAAGGTTCAGTCGAGACGTCTCGCTCAGACCGTCCGCCACCCCTATTAAGATGCATGGTATTATTTCGAGTTAACATGCAACTTTCGTGGGCTGTTGCCGATAAGATAAGATAAGCGAGTTATAAAGTTACTCTCACCTTTTTTTTCCTCGGCTGGAATTTAATGAATTACGTGATTGATCGATTGTATACTAAAAAAGACACTTCCTCTTTCGACCTGATAGTGATATTTTCAAATCGTTTTATCAATTAATCATGCAACTGTAAAAGTTAAAATTATTTTATCAGTCTAGCCGGCGTACGAATACATCTGCTCTCAAGACTTACGTATACAAAAAAAATGCGTTTCATGATTAAAATGTTTAATTATACAATCGCTTTGTATCTCGAAAGGTTTTTCGCTGGAAAACAACATTTGGGACTGAAAGGAAACATTTACGAGTTGCGTATAGGATGGCTTTGACAGATTTTACAATTTTTAGAAAGGCTACACTTTAAAGAAATTTGGACGCGTTTCCCCTAAATCAACATAGATTTTGAAAATCATCGATTAGGCCCCGCAGAAACTGACCAGCGGTCAATCAGCTAAATACATGCCAGTTTCTGTGAAAAATTTGCTCTCACATGTCGCTAACACATTTCGGCCGTCGAATGAATTACAAGAATAAGACAAGCAAAGAATTGGGGGAGTCATTTTACAGCAAAAGTTGACGGGAAAAAGCGGTGCTTTTATCTTTAAAAACAGAGACAATTATACAGATTTCCTTAGTTCCAAATTGCCACATTTTGAAAAGTATAGGAAAAAGCAATTAGTTTTGACATTTCTTTCAAAGCATTCTCTTTAACTCAAACTGAGTATTTTTATTTAAGGAAAAACAAACACCGAGCATTTTGGTACATTAACTGCGCAATGGGAAAATTTTTTCCCATACGAATTCCTCTTGGCGTTCACTTATACTATTCCAGTCAGATTTTCTGTGGCCATTGCTGTTTGCAGATTTTTTGAAGACTTTTAACCTTTCGTTGAACATAAACAGGAGAAAAGGGCAGCGTTGAACTAAGTGATATTTAATCTTGGTCTATGATGGAAGTTCTTTGCTTTCGTAATCAAAATAGCCTTCTTAATTGGAAATGACAAAGGTTATTTATATCAATTTCGGCATCGGAGCAAGAATAACAACAAACGAATTGTTATAGTAGAAAATATATTGAAGAACTCACGCAGTTATTTTGGAAATTACAACAAAAGTGCAATTCAGTCTTTGTGACAAAGAATTCAAATCTGAACGTTAAACCAGGCGAAATTTCTTAAATTTCTTAATTTCTTAAAGTTCTTCACGCAGCTCAAGATCACTCGCATAATTTCCTTGACAGCCATATTAATTGCGTCAACGAATATCCGGTCTTTGCCTTTTGAAATGATTTTTCTTTTACTGGGAAAATGTGATTGGGTAGAGCGTTAAACGTTCTGAAATGTTCTGTCTTGCAGAACAGTGGCAAATAAACAAGATGGAAAATACGAGTGCATTCTGTCTTCTAAAGCAAACACGTCTTGCAGGATCCTTCATATAATTACGTCACTTTTGTCTTTATTGAGTACATACCTTTGTTTTTGCATATTAAACATAATAATATCGGCAACACGAACGAAGCGCCGAATTCATTTGAACTGAAGACAGACCGCAGTGCGTGACTGAAACCGCTCCTAGTTTTAATCAAAATTTCGCTCTACTCACGGCACGTTCCAGCTGAGGTATTTATATATAGTGGTGTTATCTACTGGCCGCTTATGCTTGATGATACCAATTTTCTTTCAAAACACAACAACTGATGCAGTTTGACAAGCGGACGCTATAGCACAAAACTTCTGTCGATAATTCACTCCAGGCTTCGGCGACGGCTTTCTGTGCCTTCCTCGTCGAAGCAGAACTTTCATTTCGAATTTAATTTTCCTTTGGTTTTATGGACAGGAAATTTAAAGAAGTAATCCCTGAAGCTGTGCTGTCTTGTCAATTAAGTAATGCATCTATGTATTGAAGGCTATAAACAAAACTGGTCTGAAAAAAACCCGGCCATCCTAGTTTCATCATACATGCAGAAGCAGGCAGTAGAAATCAGTTATTAGCATATTCTTTGAAAAACGCGACAAATTTTTATGGAGATTTTCCGACTCGATTTAATCTCAATTTTTGGTTTCAATATAAATTCGAAAGAAGATGATAGGGTCGCCCACAATGGTTCGCGCTAAGATCGGAAGGAAGAATGTCTCTAGGGCCGGTCGTATTGCGAGATAAATGCGATAACAAACTGTATTCGAACAAGATTGTGCAAGATATAAAGATTTATGTTTACATGCAAGCCGTTTTTTTTAGCCTCTTATGATCAATAGACAACTTAGACACAACGTTGACTTGGGCTAACATCAGTTTGATTATTTTGTATTGACAGATTACACCCGCTAGAAATGTACACAATCCCAGATGTTTAGAAGTATCTGTATACTACTACACACAATATTAGGCTTGTCGTGAATTCTGGATAACAAGGCATCGAGCAACCCTCAACATTTCTGCAAACTGCAGACGTACAAGACAACGATCTCGTTGGCAGTATTCACATGCTTAAATATGTGCTTATCTGCCGTTTTACTGGTCTTCGTCGTCGTGATAACTATAATATGCATTCGATATTACCAAAACAAGCACGAATTTAAACCTTGTCTATATTACAAGAAGTCGCGAATAAGTGTGGTCATTAAGAAAGGATGCAAACGGTTGAATGAAGACTATAAGCCGACATTCTGGGCCAGAAATGGTCACCTTCAGACTTTACTCCCCTGGGTTTGGCCTTGTTGGCAGGAGGAACTTGAGTTTAGGCGTGAATATTTACAAATGGCTGACAAAGGAGTCATCGCGTTGGACTGGATGGAAGTAGATGAGACAGCAATGAAAAAAGTGAGTCCGGTGATGCTTCTTATTCCTGACCTGACCGGTGTGGCCGCCAATATGGCTGCGGTCTGCACCGAGGTTCTGGCGCGAAACTTTCGCCCGGTGGTCTTCAACAGACGGGGTCACTGTAGTACCGCATTATCGACATATCGCTTGCAAAGCTTTGGGGACGCACGTGATTTGGAAGAAGCTATTCAATTTATACATCATATGTATCCTTATTCGGAAATCTTTGCAATTGGTTTTTCTACAGGTTCAGGACTTCTTATGTCATACCTCGGAGAGGTGGGCAATGCATCGCAATTGAATGCTGCAGTTTGTATTTCACCTTGTTACGATGCCGAAGGGCTGTTTAAATCTAACAATGTTCCCGAGCCGTATAACTGGCTTTGGACGTTCAAACTCAAATGTGTTCTTCGCCAACATCCTTGCTTAGGAAATGTGATAAACTATAACCTTGCACTTCAGAGTTCAAGCATAAAAGAGCTGGATGAGCGGGTGTATGTCAAATTAAACCAGTACAATTCCTTGGCCGAGTATTGGAAATATAACGACCCTATGCGTAGTATCACCAACATTCACATACCAGTACTCTGCATTAGTGCTCTCGATGATCCAATTTGTACAAAAGATACAATTCCGTTTAGCCTTTTCAAGACTTCTTCTAATTTATTTCTGGTGACTACTGAGAAAGGAGGCCATTGTGGATTCCTAGAGAATGGTCTGCCTACTTCATGGGCAAATAAACTCGCTTGTGATTATCTTGAGACGGTGTATCATCAAGGGATACCGAAACAGCCGGAAGAGAATCATATTCATTTCTTTCCAGAATTCAATGGTACAAGAAACAGAAGTTATACAACGTAAGAGGCAAAAACGAAATTTGCACTGTTATTTGACTTGTCTATATAGCAAAGAGTTTTTCAGAAATTCTAGGACATTTTTGTTACATACCAAGGTGCAATTAATTTAAGTGCGTCGCGTCTAAATAAACAAAACGATGTTAAAATTTGTGTTTTGTCTGGCCCCTTTTATTCCAATCGGAAATGGCCCACCAAAATTATTTGCCTAACACGCCTGGCAAACATCGCAACTGAGGTCTTGCAAGCATGGAACGATGGCGACAATCTAGCCTTGTATTAAATAAAGATTCCCAATTGCAGAACGTGCCATTGTATAACTTATAAACTAAAACATAATGTCCTTTCGGTTGAGCAGAAGGACTCTTCTGAGTGGGGCTAAAGCATATTTAAGTCGGATTATCAAAAATAATCAGGCATTTACATATTTATGAGACCTTTCATTTAACTCAACTTAAACGTTTGTTTATCGATGGATTACTCTTTAGCTTGTGGTCGGCGCGGCACACAAAACCGCAGAGTTCATCTATTGTCCACTCTAATCTGACCTAATCACCAGCTCTTTACCTTTGATCATTTAAATGGCACCTATTAAAATCGCGTATATCAATGGGAGAGATGTAAAAAACGCCGTTTCTTGGGCCTTTCGCCCCTTTTAACGTTTTCAGCCTCATGTAACAAATATCGATTTCCGTTCGAGCGGTGCTGTTAGGTATTCCACTCTTCATACGAATCAGTGCACGATGTGTAAATTCTAATTCACTTTGTGAAACACATGAACACAACAAAAGAGTGCAAATAAGGTTCCTCCCTAAAACATCGGACTATTCATGGCTGTAGCAAAGGAGGAAGACCTTAGACGATCTCTACCAATCGTAGATATTGAATCCTGAGACCAACTCTTAGACTTCAGTTCGGTGTCGTCCACACCCTCTAATTGGCCTGAGTGCACTGTCTCTTCAACGTCATCAACAAAGTTTTTCTTTTGTTCTTGTTTAACACAAATGAGAAGAAATGGGATGAGACTGGCAACAATCGCCACTCCACCAGCCATAAGAAACGCAGCAAAGTAGTTACCAAACTTATCTGCCATAAACCCTGGAATATTGATAATAAAACAAAGACACTTAAATTTGGCGACAGTACGTGCATAACTGAACATAGATAGGCTAATCTGTTTGAATTTCCGAAAACTACATCTAACAGGAGCCGCACCATAGCATGTATTCAGGAAAACCACCTTCGGAGCTTCGAGAATCGGGAATCGGAATGGCAGTGGGGACAGGAGGGGGAAGGGGGGGGAGGGAGAGGGGGAGAGAAGCTTATTTCGAGGAGGAATTTCGTTGATATTACAGTGATACCACGACATAAGTCGACGTAAAAAAGCAGACAAGAAATTACAGATATCATTTCATAGGTTCGAGATGATGTGATATAACTGTTTTTTGTATCACTAGTGAATGAATAAACGCAATTATGAAAAAATTAAGGGATGAAAAAATTGATGGAAAGCTCTTTCAATAAAGTATAACTCAAGTAAAACTGTAACGGTCCTAAATTCTCCAAATGAATAAGCCAAAGTTATCACATCGAAGCACTTTAAGCTATGTCTCTAATCTGCCTTAAGATATCCTTGTATACCTGATAGGGGTGGGCTACCCAAAGCAAATACACCCGCAGCCATTAATAAAAACCCAAACGTTGAGACCCTTTTCGATTCGTCAACGGATTCCATACATTCGATTATGATGGTTGTTATCATAATTCCATCTGCGACACTGAATATAATGACGAAAGCAATCAGTCCAGCATAAGTAGTTGCCAAGGGAAGTAGCATTGTAGACACCCCGGTCACAAATGACACGGCTTGATGGAGAAATCGGGCCTTTATGAATCTCAGATTGCACAAAAATCCTCCCCCAAGACGTCCGATGGTGGCGAAAATGCCCATAAATAGATACAGAAGGGAGCTTTTGTCAGCTGGAATACCGAGATCATCACAATACTTTATCTGAAAAAAAGAATTCACATTTGTTAGGTTTGAATGTACTCTGCAAAAGTGTTGCTCAGTGGTGCGGCTGTTTTTTTTTCTTACTATGTTTTACTAAGTTAAGTAAGCTAACTGTATTTTTCAAACTTAGTATGACGTCAGAGTATCTTTTGAGGAAGGATTCCGCAGAAATTCACTTGGGCAGAGATCTTCTTAAGAAGCGGAGAGTTTGCAATGGAACTACTGCTAAGAAAGTTTTCAATAAAATACAACACATTATGGCGGACGAAAAAGTGCTCTTGCTTTTTCAGGGCGGGAAACCCCTTGTGGCCGCACAACGATAAACAGTTGGAAGTATCAATTTAATGGCCTCGTGCACTGAACGAGTAGAATGAATAGACAACGCTTAATACACCAAAATAGCCACAGTTTCCTTCCTTAACCAATATGGCGTTCGTTATGGCATGTTAAAACCCTATAGAGTACGAGATGCTCAAGAACAAAGTCTGACTCGATGCAACCTCGAATATCCTTCACTCTAACGACAGCTCTGGCAATTTTTCCAAGGTTTCGCACTGTCTTACAGGTAAAGATGAAGAAAAGCTGATAAAATACAAAAAAAATATTTCATATTCCGCAGGATTGGCCTGGCACACCAAATTTCAATTGAGAAAATTTTCACCTGATACTTACTATGTGTACGTATGGCACCAGACGAGTGTATACGGTAAGTCCATTTCTTAGCACAATTGTGATGATGACAGGATCCCTTAACAACCAAAGGTTAAATCCAAATTTCTTTCCACGAGCCTCGTCTTCTTCTCCGAACACTGAAGATGTACTTTTGCGATGAAGAATGACTCCAGTAAGTGACGCAACAGCTAAAATCCCAGCAAACAAACGGAAAGAGTTCTTCCAACCAAAAACATCAACTAAGGCTTGTAGAGTAGGTCCGAGAATCATTGTCCCCATTCCTTGCCCAGCGGCGACAATTCCAAGAGCAAACGACCGTTTTTTAAGGAAGTACTGATACACAATGATTGGCGAAACAACGTAGATAGCCGATACCCCTGTACCAAAAGGCAAACTAAAGGTAACGTAGAGAATGGTGATGTTTGGAGCAAATGAACCCAGTGCAAGGCCTACGGCACACGACAAGCAACCCAAAATGGTTGTGACACGAATACCAAATCTGTTCAGGATTGTACTCGAAACAGGACCAAGGAAACAAATGGCGCCTATTATTATAGATGAAACCCATGCTGCAGAAAGAAATAAAGCTAAATTAGTCGTCAAGTTATTACTGGACATAATGGGATACAATTTTCACATTGAGGCAATTGTTTCGGTTAAGACACGTTCAAATTCAGTGAAAACTTGATTCCCAAAAATGTGGATGCAAACAAGCCATTTCCAAGATATCCAACGCCTCCGTTTAAAAAACGGTGGTACGTGCGAAAGCTTTGATGCGAAAGTGACTTTTCAACTTTACGGGAATTAGACTGTTTTTCCAAGTGAAGGGTTTTGCACTCGGCCTCTTTGGAAAGTCAAAAATGGCCTATTCCACTAGTAGGCTCTAGAACCATGACACGCACTCGTGTAAGGCCTGGCATAGAAAAAAAAAAAAAGAGCACGGGGGAAGTTGTTAAACAAAATGTGGTGCTTTGTGAGTGGGGGTACTAGAAGATGAGTTGGTTTTTTCAGCTGACTTTTCGAGGGTCAGTCATTCGTCAGAGCGAGTGACGAAGGGTTAACGTTCGAAACGCCAGCCTATGCTTGTCCAAAAGGGACATCGTATCAAAGTTTATATATCTAGATCAAGTTTAATATATAAGGTGGCCCACAAATGTCGCAGCAAAAGAAATAACCTATAGCGCCAATATCTCTTTTAGGCCGTGAGGACATTGTTATTACTTTTGCAGCGAGATTTGTTCTTTTGCCGTGAGTCTTTTCTTTCTGTTGTGAGGTTTTTTCTTTTGCCGTGAGGTTTTTTTCTTTTGCTGAGAGGTTTTTTTCTTTTGCTGAGAGGTTTTTTTCTTTTGCCATGAGTCTTTTCCTTTTTGCCGTGAGTCTGTTTCTTTTGCCGCGAGGTTATTTTTTTTGTCGCGAGGTTATTTATTTTGCCGTGACAGTTGTGGGCCACCGTAAATATATCAATGTCAAGATTTATATATCTACGTCAAGATATTACCATCAAGATTAGTTTCTACATGTTAAAATTTGCATTCGTATATATATATATTTGTTACACAATATCGACGCCAAAAAAAACGATCCTTTCAGTGCGTCACCATCACACAACACTTTGACACGAGCAGCGTTGTCTTTACTCTTATCGACAACGGCAAATTTGCCAATCAGATTGCGACATTACTGCCAATTGAGATAAAAATATAAATCTTGGCATTGATATATTAAACTTAATCTAGATACATAAATCCTAAAAATTTTTTCCTTTTGGAAAAGCATAGTCAGCTCTAAAAACTCTTTACGGTGGCCAATACATAGTCAATCCAGTATGTAAAGCCAAATCATCCTAGAGAAGGAAAGGGAAGCCCGACTACTCTGTGTTATCGTGATAAAGACCGTGACGCCGGAAGAGAATCGTTGCGTGACGAATATCAAACGACTTGAAGCCTATGAACTGAAAATAGTACAACTGAGACAAGCTCAATTCAAAACACTTAGAATTGTTATGATTTATCATCGACGAGTTTAGTGTTAAATCAAATGGACTTTAGTACGTGAATACTGAATATTTTAATACTAGTGAGCGGACATTTCCGGTTTTAAATTTGACTTTTGCATGCTTTGCAAAATAATCGATGCATCGTCATGACGCATGGATTATTTTGCTATTATTCCTTATTATGATTATTCCTACAGCTTCAGATTGATCTTTGACGCCCTTAATTTGTTTCTTGAGCAGCAAGGCACTGTGTAAAATCCCTATACACGTAGTAGTTAATTCTTGTCATTAGTCCTGGCATCCTGCCTCTAGCTGAACATGAATCAACAACTCACGATTGACAATTTCGAATGTATTGCATCACTGCTTTCCAATTCGTGACACAAGCGCTATCGACTGAGATAATAATCATAACAAAAAGTATATACCTGGATATCCTGAGGCACATCGAAATTCCCAGCTGATACAATACCAGTTGGGTTGTAAAATTCATGACTGGTACAATAGATGATAACAAACTCACCCGTTTTCTCACGGTTTTCGTCGAAGTAATTCATAAAAACTGGAAAGAGAACGCCTAGAGCAAAGCTGAATCCAACTGAAAGGATCATGCATATCGCCGTAAAGAAACAAATAAACCACGACCAGATACTATCCTGCTTGTACGAAGATAACTTTTCCCAGCACAGTTCCATGATAACAGTTTCGATATGTTTCGGGGTAGGTGTAACTATTTCATCAGATATCTGGTCAGCGGATAACTGCATATCAAACAGTGTAACGCAATGGCTTGTGCATTTTAAAGAAAATGTGATTGTTTGTGATACTACGTTGTTGTGCTTTCGGTCTTTATTTCCTTTTTTTTTTACTTTCGATTTTAATCAATTATTATTTTATTTTTAGAGTCTGGTTATTATGTCACCTTCAAATTTATTTGGAAATGGAGCCGAGATGCCCTTCATGCATCGTTGTCACGCAGTCTCTGGCTCAGATGTTTAAGTAATTATGCAGTTTAAAAAGAAACCAAAAGGACAAATCAAATTAATTTTTTCGTTTCTCTTTGAGTTCGATTCAGCTGACTTTCTTCAATGATATTCAGTCTCAAGCGCAGGTTGCGCAAACAATGCAAATAGAAGCAACTGCGAATGGAAGAAAGCTTGCGGTGAGCTCTGTTTCAAAAACTTGCGTAATTCCTGGTTGCAATTTTTTCACCCTCTTTGTGCTCGATTCAGTTGACCTTCTACAACTATATTCAGTCCCAAGGGCAGGTGTACGCAGACAATGCAAGTAGAAGCAAGTGAGAATGGAAGAAACAACGGGTAATGATAGAACCAAAGTGTTTGTTGAGCAAGACGTAGAAAGAGATGAATGTGTAATCAGGCCGGTTTCAAAATCGAAAGTAGTATTTCTGAGCGAGATTCTGTAGATTAAGTGGTCAATTTTGGCATAAAGTGGCGTTTTGAATTGTTTTTTAAAATACTCCCAATCTATGGAACTATATTAAGCGTTCAATCTGTATAAAGCGGTCACCATTCCCCATGGGTGACCGCTTAATACAGGTTCGACGGTAGCAGAGCATTCTTTCCGGAATTTTAATCTATTGAAATTAAACGTTGTTTGTAGTAAAGCTACCTGTCAGACTATGAAAATATGTAAATTTGTATCAAAAGTATTAATTAAATGTATGTAGGTATACGTATGTATGGATTACTCTTGTGCTAGTGGTCAGCGCTGCACACATCGCCTTACAACAGAGACAATCTTTTGATCTCTCTTATCTCAACTTATCTCTAGTTCAGTACTTTGTAATCATCATGCCATCTAAGTCATTTTCGTTGTGTGGCAGTCGTGTGAGCGTTGCAACACGAGTGAATCCTAGACTTTGCAAACAGTTCAGTTTCGTTTTCATTTCAGTACTACCATTACTTAACTCTTTATACTAAATGTAATTTGAAAACATAAAACACATTTATAACAGACTTTTTATGAAAAAACTTGAAGCAAAATATTCTTCATCAAAAGATCGGACTATCCAAGGCTATAGCGAATGAGGAAGACCTTATCAGACGATCTCTACCAATCGTAGATATTGAGTCCTGAGAACCACCTTTGGACTCCAATCCGGTGTCATCCACACCCTCTAATTGGCCTGGGTGCACTGTCTCTTCAACGTCATCATCAAAGTTTTTCTTTTGTTCTTGTTTCACACAAATGAGAAGAAATGGGATGAGACTGGCAACAATCGCCACTCCACCAGCCATAAGAAACGCAGCAAAGTAGTTACCAAACTTATCTGCCATAAACCCTGGAATATTAATAAAAAAAAAATTTAGACAGTAACAATAAGCGACGGTTCAGTGTATACCTGAAGAGAGGATGTACTGATCTGATTCGTTTAAAACGAGAGGGAAGAGAGGGAAGAGGGGG